GTTTGCCCCTGGACCTGTGTGGAGGCGGTATGAGAGCTGGAATAAAGTATTGCTGTTTGAACCTACAAAGCTGTGGTGCCTCCTGATTCTGGTGCCAAGCCCAGACATTGGCATTGGCAGAAACTAATGACTCAAATGATCATGAAAGTCTTATCAGAAACCATGGTGGTCACAAGACAGTGGAGCATCGTTTTTTAAAATGCTTCAAGAAATGACATTTTCATATAAAAGAGAACTTAGACAATCTGGGGCCAGCATCATGTGCTACAAGAAACAATGAGGTTCATCAAGCATAAGGGAAATGACACAGAGGAAAATTCTAGTCATCACAAGGAAAGGTGATGAGCATCAGAAACACTAAATGCATGGATGACTACAAAAACTATATTTTGCTCTTGACTTCTTTTTAAAATACTATAGCAGTTTTAAGGGAAAATTATATGATTATCCTTCTGGTTTTATCATGTAAGAAGATAGACAACTTTTAACGACTACAACATAAAACATTCCGAGTTGGGGAGGCAGGGGTCAATGCAAGAGTTCTATGTGTTATGTGAATCCATGCAATGTTAGCTTCCATGTAAACTTAAAATCAGGGACATTTATATTGCATTAGAGTAACCATTGATAATAGAATGTAGGTAAAACTAAAATCGATGTCCCTATACACCCATAGAGTGTGTGGATATACCAAAAGTGTCAATGTGAGACTGGAATGGCTATATTAAATTAAAAGTAAACATATTTGGGAGATAAAAATAATAATACTAGACATAAATAGAGACATTTCAAAATGTTACAGATCAACTCATTAAGAAGATGTGATAGTCATACATATATAAATGCTTAATGAAAAACTTCAAAAGACATGAAGCAAATATTGATAGAATTAAAGGAATTAATATATCTGTAATCATAGTAAGAAACTTTATCTGTGCTTTCTCATTTAACTGATGAAATAAATTGTGTCCTACAAAGAAAGAAACAAAGGAAGGAAGGAAAGAAAATAAAGGAAAAAAAAAGGAGAAAGTCCACAGTATTCCCCATCAGTCACTTTTATTTTCTTCTTTCTCAAAAGGAAAAAAAAAAATAGAATTCTGCTTCAATTTAGGAAATTCAATGATGGATAACAATCAATGTTTACAGCAGCACAATTCACAATAGCTAAACTGTGGAACCAACCCTAGATGCCCTTCAGTGGATGAATGGATTTTAAAAATGTGACATATATACACAATGGAATATTACTCCGCAATAAAAGAGAATAAAGTTATGACACTTGCAGGTAAATGGATGGAGTTAGAGAAGATAATGCTAAAGTGAAGTTAGCCAATCC